CCTTGGAGCCATATAGTAAGGAGAACGGCGTTGCCCCCATACTGGATCTTGTCGTTGTCCGATATGCCCAAAGAACTTCGGGCAAAATTTCTCCCCATTTCCCCTTAGTGTCGTTCAACCTCTTCTTTAGGTTTTGAATGATGGTTTTGTTCGTTGATTCAGATTGTCCGTTCCCGCTAGGATGATACAGTGTCGATAATATCCTTTTTATTTTGCCGCCAATAAATTGTTTTCCATTGTCGCACACTATCTCGGCGAGTATCTCGAATCGACATACGATGTGATCCCAGATGAAGTCTATAACTTCTTTCTCTCTGACTTTCTCGATGTCGTGCTTCAACCCATTTAGAGAAATAGTCAGTCATAAATAAAATGAACTTAGCTTTACATGGGGCCAATGGCAGAGGGCCGACGATACCCATTCCCTATTTCATGAACGGCCATGGGGATAGGCCTGAATAAAGCTGCTCCCCAAGCTGATGAATCATCGGGTCTTGTCTTTGGCATTTGTCGCATTTCCGAACGAACTCCTTAGTATCTTTTTCCATATTGTCCCAATAATACCCTGCTCTGATGACTTTGTGAACTAGTGATTCGTCACCGGAATGGTTCCCGCAAGTGCCCTCGTGAACTTCTCGTAGGACGTAGCCGGTGTCTCCTGGACCCAAGCATATTGCCAACAGCCCATCGAACGTCCTTTTGTACAATGTCCCATCTTCGGCCAATGTGAATCATGCATCTTTCGTTCGCAGAGTCCTCGATTCCTTTGGATCCGACGAAAGTTTCCCATTCTTTAGATAATCGATGTATTTGTTCCTCCAATCCCAAGTTAGGCTTGTGGAGTTTATCTCGGCGTGGCCTTCTTCGACTACCGACTTTGAAAGTTGTACGACAGTCCCCGAGCTAATTTCATCATCTTAGATCCATGATCCCAAGTTTGCAAGGGCATTGGCCTCACCGTTCTGCTCTCGAGGTACATGCCGTAGGGTCCATTCTTTGAACAAGTGTAAGGTTACCTGCAATTTGTCCAAGTACCTCTGCATTCAATCTTCTCGAACCTCAAAGGTTTTGTTGACTTGGTTAACCACTAGTTGGGAGTCAGACTTGGCCTCGATGACCTCTGCTCTAAGGCTTTTAGCCAGCTCGAGACCTGTAATCATGACCTCATATTCGGCCTCATTGTTAGTCAACTTAGGGGTTTTGATAGATTGTCTAATTGTACTTCCCATAGGCAGCTTCAAAATGATGCCTAGACCGGACCCCTTCATATTTGGAGCACCATCTGTGAAAAGGGTCTACATCCCCGAAGACGTACCCGCTATTATCAAAAGTTCCTTTTCGACCTCGGGTACGAGGGCTGGCGTGAAGTTGGCCACAAAGTCTGCTAAGATTTGGGACTTGATGGCCGTTTGGGGGTTGATATTCGATATCGTACCCACTAATTACGACTACCCATTTTGCCAATCAGCCGGAGAGTTCGGGCTTGTGCAAAATATTTCGAAGGGGGTAAGTGGTTATGACACAAATTGGGTGACATTGAAAATACGATTTTAATTTCCTAGAGGCGCTTATTAGGGAAAGTGCTAATTTTTCTAAGTGGGGGTACTGGGTCTCTACTTCACCTAAAGTTCGGCTAACATAGTAAATAGGAAATTGCGTACCTTGCTCTTCTCGAACTAGGACATCACTTACCGCAACTTTCGAGACTGCCAAATATAAGTAAAGCGGCTCGTCCGCTTTTGAAGTATGAAGCAACGACGGGCTCGAAAGATACCGTTTTAGTTCTTCCAATGCCTGTTGGCACTCCGGGGTCCAAGTAAAATTGTTCTTCTTTTTGAACAGTGAGAAGAACCTGTGACTTCAATCCGAAGACCTCGAGATGAACCGGCCTAGAGCGGCCATCCGCCCTGTTAATCTTTGTACGGCCTTAACTCTCTCCACGATCGTGATGTCCTCGATTGCCTTGATTTTATCGGGATTGATCTCGATTCCCCGATTCGACACCATAAAGCCGAGGAACTTGCCTGAACCGACCCCGAATGCACATTTCTCGGGGTTGAGCTTCATGTTGTATTGTCTCAATATGTCGAAGGTTTCCTGAAAATGTGTCAAATGGTCCTTTGCGCGCAGGGACTTAACTAGCATGTCATCAATATAAACCTTTATTGATTTACCTATTTATTCTTCGAACATTCGGTTCACTAGGCGTTGATAAGTAGCACCAGCATTTTTTAGCCCAAACGGCATTACATTATAACAATAAGTACCGTACTTAGTGATAAATGAGGTCTTTTCCTGATCTTCTAGGTTCATTTATATTTGGTTGTACGCGGAGTAGGCATCGAGAAAGCTGAGATCTCGTGGCCGGCCGTGGCATCGATCATGTGATCGATATTCGATAGTGGAAAAAAGTCCTTATGGCATGCTTTGTTTAAGTCTTTGTAATCTACACACATTCTAAGTTTATTCCCCTTCTTGGGGACTACAACTACGTTTGCTAACCACTCGGGATATTCTACTTCCCGGGTGGATCCTATTTTGAGAAGTTTGGTTACCTCGTCCTTGATGAATGCATGCTTTACCTTGGACTGTGGCCTTCTCTTTTGTTGTACCGGTATGAACTTCGGGTCTAAACTCTCAATCGATGAGTGGTGATCTCCGATGGGATCCCTGTCATGTCAAGGTGGGACCAAGCAAAACAATCCATATTTTTAATAAGGAATTTAATGAGTTTTTCCCCGAGCTCGGGAGTTAAACCCGTGCCCAGGTATACCTTTCGATCGGGCAGATGCTCGATCAGTATGACTTGCTCCAGCTCTTCGACCGTCGACTTTGTGGCATCGGAATCATCGGGGATTACGAAGGTTCGAGGTATCATACAATCATCATCCTCGATAATTTCCTGCTCTTCCGATCTGGTCGAGGCCGGCGACTGTGGTTGCTATTTGACATCCTATTTTTCCTTTGATTCTGGTCCCTTTTTGTTGATGTTAGTGCCGATACCGGTATTACTTCATCAATTTCAAACATCTCTTTGGCTACTGGTTGCTCGCCATACACTGTTGTGACTCCTTCCGGTGTTGGGAATTTCAAGACTTGATGAAGCGTTGAAGGTACCGCCCTCATATTATGGATCCAAGGTCTTCCGAGCAGCGCATTGTACCTCATATCTCCTTCGATCATGTGGAACTTCGTTTCCTGGATAGTTCCGGCCACGTTTACTGGCAACATGATTTCCCCTTTGGTGGTTTCACTCGCCATGTTGAAACCGTTGAGCACTCGAGCTGTAGGCACGATCTGATCCTGAAGGCCGAGTTCGATTATCTCCCGATTCAATCCGTTTAGTGAGCTCCTCGAGTATCTTCATGATGGCGGGATCAGTTCCCGATCCGTTGTAGTTCAATTTCTCCTGTACGGGTTCGACCCTATGAGCAACTTCCCGTGACGTATCGAGTTCGATTCTGCTTGGGGCTCGATTCATATTTTGAAGTTGCGCTATCACGGCCTGCTGAGTTTGTAGCATGTCAAATATCATTCGAAGGCTAATTCCGCCTTCTTCACCATTTTGTGCGTTTTGATCGGCTGCCCGGGCGTCTCTGCGGATGCTATTTTTAGGGTCGGCGCCTAAATCTCACGAATGGCGACACAAGAATTGACATCAACCGGATCTACGGCCTGTGGTGCGTCGGGATTGATTGGATGCACTCCATTTCCCGGGGCGACTATGTGCTCGTTTTCGCCATGAAGACCAAGGCCAGTATCAGTGTGAATGGGTATTGCTCGAGAGTTCGACATGTTGATTCCTGAAATCAAAAATACTCACAAGAACAAGCGTAAAAGCAGTGTGCGTTATGAAGGTTAAAATATTAAGCAATCACTATTATCCGTAACCCCACGGTGGGCGCCAAAACGTTTACCCTAAAAATCGAGTAACAATTAAACTTGTAATGTGGTTTTAAGGATACGTGATTTCACTTAATACCAATTGATTAACTTTGAGATAAATGATGAGAATTGACAAGAATGTAAAACAAACCAATGCTTGGACAACGCCCTCGAGCTGATGAACCCTCGAGAGTAGTGAAGTAAGAACAGTAAGTTGACGAGCAGAAGAAAGAAATGTTATATTGCCTTGATATTCGTGAATGTAAGGTGTTTACAGATGATGGGGATCCCTTTTATATACTAGAGAAATCCTAATTATAGTACAATTTTAATTACGGAAGTAAATCTCATGATTGGTACAAATAACCGCCCTTGATTTGATTTGTTCCGAGATTTTCGCCGTGATCTTCGACCGGTTACGATATCTCGCCTTTCCGTTATTGCACTTCGCTCAAAGTCGATCATACTTAATCCCGATTGCTGATGGCCTCGGTCTCAGCGGACACTTCGATCTTTAGACTCGATGCCTCGTCTTCGAGCTCGGGTCTGATTCATTACGAGGCTACCCCCGATGCAACTCCCTTGTCTCGATCAAATAGTAAAATCGGATAAGCCCGATTTTGACCGTATACCAAATCGTCTAGGTATAATGTGTAGTTGAAAGAAGCACCAAGCAAGTAATTTGAGAACTAAGAGACCAAGAGATTATTATTTTTCTTATGTCGAAATATTAGTGAATAAAGTTATCGGTATAATTAGTAGATAGTAAGTACTTGTTGTTTGAAGTGCAAAAAATATTGAAAGATCATTACTCCATTTCTAACCAATCACGTACACAATCATTAAGTAAGTTGTTAATTATTTTGTCGAAGTATGTGGTGGAAAGTTCTTTAATTCCTCAGATTTTCGTATCTACTCATTTTAATTATTACAATTCTTTTGACACGTTTGCAATAATTGAATATTATTGCTACATTCTCGTGCAAAATGATGGTTTGTGAATATTTTTATAACAAAAATAGAGATTGGAAAGAGATTTCGTAATCATGGAAATCGTGCACCGTCCACGGACCCCTCCGCAATTTATTCAACTTATTGGGTAAAATTCGAGAAATTTCAATTTTCACTCTCTCACAAAACTGGTGAGTTTCATAGTACGATAGTATATGAAAATACATAATCATAAACGTGGCTATAAAAACCTAATTTGGTAGCGTTAACGCCATTGATTCGCCCAACGCAAAACCTTTTTTCCTGTATAAAACGAGGGGAGAGAGAAGACTCAAACCCAGAAAAATTTTTAGTTTATTATTTTTTCTGTGTCTCGCATTACTTTTTCCCGCTCATCGAATTGTTGACTCGCATTAAACAAGGCGATTGCATTGGTTTTTTGCGATCAACTGACACTTAAAAGACATCCGTTTCAGGTACCTTCTTCGTTATTTCTTCTGTATTTATACCATCAGTCTCTCTGCTATATATATATATATATATATATATATATATATATATATATATTGTGTGTGTGTGTGTGTGTTAGGTTTCAGAAAATCTAGAAGTCTCTATTCCAGCTGCTGTTTTTGGTAATTTCGTTCTACCCTAACTAATTGGTTTTTGAAAGGAATAAAATGCAGTGTTTCCTTTTGAAAATTTAGGCTAAATTTTTTGTTTCGCGTAAAGCCAACGCTGCATTTATTATGTTTCTTTAAAGATGGAGTCTCTTACACGTTTTCGCATTAGGTTACGTGGTTGGTCGACAGTTTTTTACTTTAAATTCTTATTCCCAGTTGGAAAGTATTTTAAGTACTTTGATTTGGGTTCCATTTGGTTTTTCACTTAAACTATTCATTCCACTTTTTGCTTTTCGGTTTTCCTCATTTTTTTTTGCAGCGACCAGCGCTTTCGATACTGAGTATTTTTCAGAGATTGCTAACTTAGAAATAGTTTGAGCTGCTCTTCTGTTATTTCAATCTTTCTATTGAGTTCCGTCCTTGCCTAAGGTGAGCACTCTTCTCATCTTTTCGGCTATTTCTTTTGTTAATTAATCTATCAGTTAGGCCTCAATGCCAAACTGTTGGGCTTAGTTGTATGAATCCTCTGTATGCTTTCATTTGGTACAATTTCTTTTCACTTGTACTGTAATGCTTTATAACTATGGGGTGGATGCACAATTGAAGTTAGGAGTTCGGCTGAACTCACTAGTTTGGCTCAAACGTTGTATATGTGTTAAGAAAGCATAGGGGATGTAGCCTTGCAGTACCGGGTTCATCTGAACCTAGTACTTCCCAAGTCTTTATGTGTAAAAATCCACTAAAGTTGCAACAAATATAGTAGATATAACCCATAATTTTACATATATAAAGGGTTGAATGCTAAGACTCTAACAATTTGAACCCATAAAACTTAAATTGTGTATCCTGTCTCTGTTAAGATGTCTACTTATTTATGTACAAAATGGTAAATTTTGAACCCAGTGACTCAAATGGTTGGTGAGTTCAGTGGCATCCCGAGCCCATAAAGTTGAAATCCTGGATAACCACTGTTATACCTAAATTTAGAATGTCTATATCCAGTAAAAGAAAAGTTCAATCTGTTTCTGCAAATTGTGATATCATCTTTATTCCTGAATTCTTGTTCTGTCCTTTAATTCATTTTCTTTCGTTCATTTTTTTCCGTGATCATTGACTGTTATCATATTTTTCTGATGCAGGATACTCTCTGGTAGTTGTAGACTGGATCCTAATAAGATAATTATTTATGGAGCACGACGCAGGAAGAGGTTTGGACAACCTGAAGACTATGGATGGGAAGGAGAGTGAAAATGCTCATGCCAATGGATCAAATAACGCTGTTGTTGTTCCCAATTGTTGCTTAAAGGCTAGGGTGTATGACCCTGAGCTTGAAGCCAATTGCCACTCCACTGTCGTTTCCGGATGGTTTTCTCAACCTCCGCGGCCATCCTCTGGTCATTATCAAAATTATTTTGTTCATCTCCTTCGTTTAATCGATTTTTTTTACAATTATTTGACATAGTTGTTCTTCTCCTGCTGTTTGTTACAGATGAAAAGGAGAGGGTGTTGTATTTCAATAATCCAATGTGGCCAGGTTATCTTTTGCTTCGTTGTTATTTCTTTCTTGCTGTTAATAATTGCTGATCTTCCTTAAGGAAAGAACATTTTTTTTCTTTGCTTGTAGTGCTTGGTACACATAATAGAATTCGCTGGCCTCCTCTTTTTATTATTTAATTGGTTAATATAATAATGTTTCTTTTTCTTGTCCTCACCCCTTCCCCTAATTTGCCGCTTATCTTATTTTAGGACAATTTGTCCAGGATGGTGCTCAGTAACTAGAAGTTATTTTTAACTTGCATATTCTGTTAGAAGTGTTAAACGAAAAAGTTGAAGTAGTTTCCAGAAAGTTGGATGAAAACATGCGATCATTCATTAAACTTGTTGATGCTTTAGATGATGTTATTGATTTAGCATAGTCAGTTGTGTGTCCAAAAATATGATCCTTTTGTTTGATTCGGACAGTGAGAGGGCTTCTTGCTTCGTCCTGTAAGCAGAAGAGCTGCTGTCAGATACAGCTGCATTAGTTGGTTATACTATGTGCATATTTAGGAGGTGGTATCGTGTCCTACTGCAGCCGAAATTGTCAAATCTAAGTGTCACTGGCTGGGCTTGTGTGCTTGTTTCGCTGAGTCAAGTAATTCCATTCAGTTTGTTAACGTAGTATAAATGATGCTTCAAGTAGAAGTATGATAGCATATGATCCTTAGGTAACAAATTCCTGAAATCTCATGGCCTCGGAGTTTTGTCATGGTTGAACCCAAGTTAATGTGTAATGGTTTACTACTTTTTCCAAGTATTATATGGCTCGTATTGGAAATTAAACTTCTTGATAATGTCCTTTCTCGTACACCCATTTTCATGAATATTTACTGATCATAATTGTTGTATGACGGCGTCTTTACACAGGAGAAGCACATTCTCTGAAAGTAGAGAAGACTTTATTCAAGGGAAAGTCAGAATTCCAGGAGGTCTTGGTTTTTGAGGTTCAGCATCTTCAACTCTAGATTCTAGTTTTGTCCTTCAAGTTTTAGTTATATAATTTCTTTCAAGCTATTTTATGCATCTGCCTTAATTCTGTATCCATTCTTGCAGTCTGCATCATATGGGAAAGTTCTAGTGCTTGATGGCATTGTTCAGTTGACCGAGAAAGATGAATGCGCCTATCAGGAGATGATAGCCCATCTTCCTCTCTGTTCAATCAAATCTCCTAAGAATGTAAGTGTATATATGACTGTTCAGATTCTTCCGTTCGTGCACACTCAATGATCAAAAAGAGTTTTACGAATTTGCTTTCTATTCTGAAAAAAAAAAATACTGAAAGGGAAGCGCATCTTATTTGCTTGAAGAACTGGATTAGTATGAGTTGAGCTTAAATGAAAAAGTAAGGATTCATAGAGCTGACCCAACTTGTTTGGGACTGACGTATAGCTGTTGTTGTTGTATCATGAGTGAATGTGTTTTCGCGTCTGGGAGTGTGTCAAGCTGAAGACCTGGATTAATATACTCATACTTTCTGGTACAGTCACAATTTGTCAGTAAAAAATGGACAAACTATGTAATAGAACCAAACGGATACTTCTCTTATCATCATGGATGTTTCACTATTCCCATTTCGCCGACCTTCCAAGGTTTGCATGTGTGGACTGATAAATCATTCTCTTTGTAATTTGATGATTCACCTGGTGTTAGCTTTCCAAGTCTTGTTGCTTTCTAGATCATATTGAGTTTTCTGGTTGAAGAAATATAACTTCATGCAGCTGTTTAATTCTTTAAGGAATCTGAGAAATTCTATATACTACTCCCTTCAGGGGGAATTCCTAGTCAGCCTTTTTTCTTTTCTTCTTATAACCATAGTGTTGAGTCAGCTTGCACGCACTTCGACTAATTCCTTAGGATACCTGATGCCTTCCACCAGCACAGTATCGGGTGATTTTGTTCACCAAAGCTTGGACAGATGGAAGAAATTGCTTAGTGTTTTTGCCTCCTATAGGATTTGAACCTAAGACCTCATGGTTCTCGACCTACTTTATTGACCACTAGGCCACACCCTTGTGTTCCCTACTCAGCCTTCTTCCTCTTCTATTTGTATGAAGCCCAATAACACTAGATAGAAGTACTAACTTAAAAGAGTTTCTTTGTTTTGAACCCATTTATCGTGCTTTGTCTGCTATAGTAACATTCATTTTCCACATAGAAGGACAATTAATGTTTGCGCTGGTAGGAAGACAGGTATCTGATTATATTGCTACTTATACAGGGAGAGTAAGCAGGTCATGCTCGCAAATCTCTTTTGTCAATGTTCTATTCATGAATTTATTGGGGGTGTACCGACAAATGTGAGTCACCTGATGTTAGATTAAGGCCCCTGATAGGTCTAATGGCATGAAGGAATCTGAATAATCATTTAGTGAAAGTGCATCTGGATAGGATCTGAAAACATGATGCACCTCATTAAGCAGTATTACTCTACTAAGATGATAACACATGCTTGTCATTTTGAAGTTGGAATTAATAGATTGTCTTAGATTTGATTTGACTGAAAGAATTTTTTAAAATTGAAGCACATATACGGAGCAGGGTCAGTCATCTAAGTGTTTGGACTATTCTTTCAGAAAAACCTGTCTGAAGTGGGTGAGAATTTGATATGTGCACATTTTGGTGGATTCTTTCCTGTTTTATCTGTATATTTTGAAAATAATCGCGAGGATGGGGACACTACACTACCTGCTTGTTATCTTCGTCTGGCTGTTTCTAGATAAAATTCTAACGTAGCTGGTAGTGGATTTTTTTAATGAACTGACCAGAACGCATTGTCTGAAAATGTTGCTGGTCCTTTGCAGCAGCTGTGGGCTTCTCATTTGTAACAAGGGAGAGAAAAATAGTTAATAGACAGCAGCTTCTTTATTTTTCTTCAACTCTTTTGATAATCTTAATAATTTTGTTTTATTCTTTGACTGTTGTATGTAAAGCTAAACATGAAGATACGAGGAGTCTATTTATAAAATATCATTTTCTCGTTCAGTATGCGTATATTATATATCTTTATTTTACCGTATGTCTCTTGAAAGATCTTTGATATTATTTTACTATTGCCTTCCGTTTCTTTCCCTTCTAAGGTTTACCATTCATTGTTCTCTATCCAATCAATTTGGACTATAATTGCAGGTTCTGGTTGTTGGGGGTGGTGATGGTGGAGTTCTGAGGGAAATTTCTCGACATAGCTCTGTAGAGCTGATTGATATTTGTGAGATTGATAAAATGGTTATAGATGTGAGTAACAGATGCAACATACATGAAGTTAGTGTTTTTGTTGAGTGCTGTCTAAAACCATACATTGTATTTTCTTGTGTCGCAGGTCAGTAAAAAGTTTTTCCCCGACTTGGCTGTTGGCTTTGAGGATCCTCGTGTCAATCTTCATGTTGGTGATGGTATGGACGCTTCATGTACTTGATCTTAGTAGTATGAATCTTGGGAAGGCATCACTTCCAATATATTTTCCTACTCTTACCATTTGTTTTTTGGGAGAATACTTGGGCGTCTGAGAAGCCTGGGGTAAAGATAGCACAAGGCCAGAGTAACATTTTGGTTCCTCTGGCACATAATGTTTTGCCTCCATACGAATGGGAATGCCTCGCAGAACAAACAAGAGATAGAAATATCTGCCTTTTTTATTTTCATTCCAGAAATTTTAATTCCCCGTTTTGTCAGTTTTATATCTAGTCCAGCTGTATATGACGGCGATTCTTTTCTGAATGATTTTGACAGCTGTTGAGTTTCTACGGAATACCCCTGAAGGGAAGTATGATGCTATCATAGTTGATTCATCAGATCCTGTTGGTATGTCAGTTTCATCTTCTTAATTTTTCTGTACCTTCGTTTTTAAGATCAATGTTAGCAGCTCTATGTTGTAGTCTTTTATCCCCTGACCAAAATGGGGCAGTGCTTGTTGCTTAGGTACATGTTAATTTTCGTTTAGAAAATTGAAGATAGAGCCTATGGTGCACTGATTTGCAAGGATGGAAAAATTCTATGCATGTTAGGATAGATATCACTGTCTTTTGTTGGACAGTTCAGTGGTTCTTTTGTTTGATTTTTCTTGTTTCTCTTGGATGTCTTTGACCAGTGTATGAATCAACTCTATAGTATCTACTCTTGTTTGGATTAGGAAATATTCAAACCAATGCGCTCTAGTTTAATTGATCTCAATGTCTTCCATTACAGGTCCGGCTCAAGAGCTTGTGGAAAAACCATTCTTTGCAACGTTAGCAAGGGCATTAAGACCTGGCGGTGTACTTTGCAACATGGCAGAGAGCATGTGGCTTCATACACATCTTATTCAGGATATGATCTCAATTTGCCGTGAAACATTTAGTACTGTTCATTATGCATGGGCCAGTGTTCCTACATATCCTAGGTAATTCATGAATTTAACAGCAAGAAACTTGCAAGCTAATTTTACCTTTTCTTAGCTAATTTTAAGCCTGCTTTCACTTAATGGTTATTGAGGATTTCTGCTGTATATATTATGCAGTGGTGTTATTGGGTTTCTTCTGTGTTCGACTGAGGGACCGCCTGTTGATTTTAAGCACCCTGTTAATCCTATTGAGAAACTAGAGGGAGCTCTTCAGCACCAGAGGGAGCTTAGGTTTTACAATTCTGAGGTAACTTCTTCTCTCCTATTAAGCAATTTCAGATTATGCTATGCTACTCATGAAATCATCAAAAACTTTTCTTTCAAATTGTCTAAAGCTGGATTGACTTGTTGTACGCTAAGCACTGAGAATAAATGGCTTTGTATCTTGTACAATGATTCGGGATAAAGATACTAGTGTATTTTCTGATTGGATCTTGCTGTACTTCTTAATATCTCTTTTTGTAGATTGTCGCGGGAATCAGTCTATGGTAATGTTAGAGGGCTTATGCTGTTACCATTCAGATATAGGACAAAGCTTAAGATAGAAAAATTTGCTCTGAGCATAGTATATTGGTTAATTCCATTTGAGTTTGCACTTACATTAAAGTTAAATTTAGAAATTTGAACATGCTGCTGAATAATGTCATTGTGCATTTGATGCTTTGTTGGAAATTAGTCTCCAAATATCTGAAGTCCCAGGCTGAATTCATTTTCATCCTCTCTCCATACTTAACCCCCCCCCCCCCCCCCCCCTAAAAAAAAAAAAGAAAAGTAACCAGAAAAACTGCCTTTATCCTCTGACACAATATATCATTCCATTGACAGATGCATGAAGCTGCCTTTGCCTTGCCGTCCTTTGTAAGGAGGGAGGTGAGCTGTCTCCGTGATGTCCCACCTACTGAAGGAGTTAAGCTTTAACTTATTTTGCATTTTCTGTGAAGTTATTACCCATTTCGTTTCCTTGCTGCTGGAGTTGCACAAGGGTATCAGCGGTAGACTGATGGGAGATGTAGATGCGGCGATTTATCTGTGTAGCTGGTATTGGTATTGAAGACGACATGAGCATGTAATATGCAAGTTTTACTACTTCTATATCTATTGTTGACTTGTTTGACTAGGTACTCAACGTCTCTTAGTTGATATTGAGATATGAATAAATGCGTTTTTGCATTTAATGCCGTATATCACTCTTGGCTATCTAGTCAAGGTACGTAATTGGGTCTGACTGCAGGCATGTTGTTTAGTGTGCTTTTACGGCTAGGCCTCTCTGAACCCTTACGCTTGTGTGTTGCCTGGATCAATTAGTTAAGAACTTAGGTATGCTATATGTTGCTTTGGAAACTGTTAAAATGGAATAAGTTAGTTGTGACTTGTGAATCATCTAATGCGGTAAAGGATTCGTTTATCGGTTATTTCAAGCAACTTACACGCCACAATTATTATTTTTGATTAATCTCTGTGTATAGTCAATGTTTGACTGTTTTGAGCCGTCTCAGTATGTCTTGATGTTCTTTGGTTGCTTCGATTTGCTTGCTCTTTTGGCACTTTAATTTGAAAAGTCACATTCCATGGTATTAAGCAGTCTCATTAGTTATAGATAAAACAAATCAAAACTATAACCGTGAATGAATTTGAATGCATTAATCTTTCTTTTTCAGTATTGTCTTAATGCAATTGCGAAATGAAGGTAGACGCAGGAATCTAGAAGTTCTCATATAGATTGAGATAATTTAATGAGTAGCAAAGTCACAAAGTGTCACCTGAAATAAATTCTTTGTAGCATAGGATATACCAAAAAGAAAGGCGGAACTCCTAGTTGCCTTAAACCGATGGATATTATGGTTATATGCTAGTACTTTCTATATAGTGGATGATTAGATATATTTTCTGTTAGGGGTGTACATAGGTCACATTGATTCGGATTTTCTAATTACCAAATCAAACCAATTATGTCGGGTTATTAAATTTAAAGACCAAACCAAACCAATAAAAGTCGGATTTTTTAATCTCGATTTTCTCGGGTTTTTCGGGTTTTCGGGTTTTTTTCATATCCAAATATTTCTTTAGTCCTAGTAAGACATAACTATATAACGTGTTTTCGATAAAATAATATGCATAAATATGAGATGAGTCATGACATTATACTAAAATATTTAACAATAAGATAATAAAATCGCATAAAATAAATATTATTAATATGCCATAACGGAAACAAAAATAATTTAAAATTACTAAGTTGCTAAATAAGTACGACTAATAAGTACTATTATTTACATGACAAAATACTAAAAGAAAAATAAGATGCATTTTATCTAAACCATAAAAAAACAAAAAAATAGATATCCAATTGAATTGAATGTCTTTCCTGCGGACCTTATGTAAAAAAAAAAAAGTAGTGAAGAAAACAAGACACTAAGTTGTTGCACTAACTCGCTAGCGCTAGCGCACTACGGCTTTTATTAACATTAGTATTGATTTGATTTTGGTTTAAGATTTATTTGAGTTACTAAGTAACATTTATGGACTATAAAATTTATTGGAGCATCCAAAAATTATAGTCCAAGCTTGAAATAATACGTTAAAAGATAAAACTATCAAAAGCTTAAGAAATAATTATAAACTATACTACAATAAATATTTTTATGTATTAAATATATTTAAAACTTGTATACTTATAATGTTTGGTTGGTTTGGTTTCGGTTTGACTTTTTTTTAGTTAAAACCAAACCAAAGCAATTATGCTCGTTTTTTTTCCCCAACACAAAACCATATCAAATCAAACCATAGTCGAGTTTTTTTTCTCGGTTTGACTCGAATTTTCGGATTGGTGCAGTTTGTCGATTTCATCTGTACGCCCCTACTTTCTGTTTGTTTTTTAACATTGAAATTCATTCTGGAGTTCGGATACAATGCAAGACTTAGAGGGTGTTTGGCTAAGCTTATAAGCTAGTCAAACTAGCTTATGAGCACTTTTCGGCTTATCTGCTTATAAGTCAAAAATAAGCCAAAAGCCATAAGTTGGTCACCCCCATCTTATGAATTTTTAGCTTATAAGCACTTTAAGTTTGACCAAGATTTTTACTATTTTATCCTTAAAATATTCCTTTTTAGACAACTCCTACATCGATACTCACTGCCTCAAGTATTTTTTCAACCTAACCCCCCCCCCCCCTCCCCCGCCTCTTCAAGTTTGCAATTCTCATTGACTATTTAAGATAAGCAAATTCTCTATTCCTTTGCATATTTGTTTCTATGTGATTTAGTGTTAATCTTTGAACTGTATGTAATAAATGAAGACATATCAAATTACTGGTGTATTACTTTCTAAGTGTTGTGGTGATGAAGACAGTGTTTGTTTCTCTTCAAATATTTTATCCTATTTAGGTTTATTTTTTACCGAGAAACTTTTGTCAATTTATTAATTATTATAACTTATGATTGCTCTTCAAATATTTTGTCCTATTTAGGTTTATTTTTTATTGAGAAACTTTTGTCAATTTATTAATTATTATAACTTATGATTATATGCTTATCATAAAATAAATTATATTCATCATAAAAATTATCTTATCTAAGCACAATTGTATTTAAAATAAAATGACAAATAGAATATTTTGTATTTGAAGCGATCTGGAATCTAAAATTTTGAATTATGCCCTTATAAGTGTAAACAGTTCTAAGGTTATTTAAGTCATTTTAACAGAAAAGGAGCTTATCAACACTTTTTTATCAAATACTGCAGCAGCTTATTATCAATTTCAGCACTTGTATCCAAACACGTAACTGCTTATTTATTAAATCAGTTTCAGCACTTAAAAGTGCTTTTCAGCACCTAATGCTTATCAGCTACTTCAAATCAGCTAATCCAAACAGGCTCTTAATACTAAGAGGTATGTATTTATAAAAAAGAAATTCAGTCTTGTTTGATCATTTTGTCGGGTTTGAAGAATATTTGAACTGTCTTCAGCCGGTTTCTTTGATGTCAACTTTGTAGCTATGCAGAAACTGAGAGCGTGCAGATTTGTTTTTCATTTTGCATTTTACATAATATAATTCCGCGAGTCAATGCCTAGGGCTCTTGGTGAACAGAGGCGGACTCGAAATTTGAAGTTTATGACTTTTTTGTAAGCATAAACTATAATTCTACCAGGATCTTGAACATGATATTTTACATGTAATCGTCATAGAAAACATACCTGAAGCGGAATCCATTATCTTGAAGCGGAAGCGTTAATCGGTAAATCGGTTTCTCGCCCCTTGCCCTAGCTTTCGTTACCGCCGACTTTAGTGATGGAAGAGAGGAAAAATACGGTAACCCTAATGGGTGGGGAGAGGACCAATTTATAGAGGTTCTCACTTAATCTGGTACGTCCATCAAGTAACCAATCGGACGGATGAGATTTGATAATTAATTAAATATTAATTATGGGCCTTAACCTATTGGGCCACATACACGTAGGAAAATAACTTACATTCTCCCACTTGGCCCAATAATCACATAATATTAATATTTAATATAGGAACATTAGTTGCGCATAAACAAATCTCTTCTATAATGTCCATCATAAATACCATAATACGATAAACTACTAAATGTGAGTTATGGCGGTTATATATAATTTGTCTACATACTCCCTTCCATATACTACAACATTAGCAACTCATTGTACCAGGTCCATAAGCTATAAAATATTATGGTCCACAATAATGTCTCATTGAGACTTATCCTGTAATATCTCAAAACAATAATGTGTACACCATTATGAGAAACAGGAAATCATTAATGTATATCAGAAACATATAAATGAGCTCAGAGTGTCAAAACATCATAAATACATCAGTCATAAATACAACCAAGGCCCATTCTATGTACATGTTCTTTAAATGTCTTTGGATGTAAACCTTTCGTTAACGGATCTGCAATCATGAGATCTGTTCTAATATGCTCAAGTGACACTCTTTGTTTCTGGACTTCCTCCTTGACGGTAAAGTACTTTAATTCCATATGCTTGGCACTTTTGGAGTACTTATCGTTCTTGGAGAATAATACTGCTGCAGAATTATCACAGTAAATTTTCAGCGGCTTGGTAATGATGTCGATAACCCCAAGTCCTGAAATAAAGTTTCGCAGCCATAATGCATGAATTGTGGCCTCAAAACATGCCACAAATTCTGCTTCTATCGTGGATGTAGCAATAACAGACTGTTTGGCACTCTTCCACCATATTGCTCCTTCAGCTAATTGGAACAAATAACCAAACGTGAATTTTCTAGTATCAATACATCCAGCGAAATCTGAATCCGAGTATCCAACAACTTCCAAATGCTTGGATCTCCTATACATGAGCATGTAATCCTTCGTTCCTTTCAGGTACCTCAAAACTTTCTTTGCAGCTTTCCAATGATCAATTCCTGGGTTACTCTGATATCTTCCTAACATTCCGACCGCAAAACTAATATCCGGTCTTGTGCAAGTCTGAGCATACATCAGACTACCAACAATAGAAGAGTAAGGAATTGATTCCATTTCTTTTCGCTCTACATCATTCTTAGGGCATTGCATGAGACTAAATTTGTCCCCCTTTTGAATTGGAACAATTCCTGCTGAACAATTGTTCATATTGAATCTCTCTAGAATTCTTTCGATATAGCCTTTCTGAGACAATCCCAATAATCCTTGTGATCTATCACGGAATATTTCTATTCCTATCACATAAGATGCCTCACCCATATCTTTCATTTCAAAATTCTTAGAGAGAAAATCTTTAGTCTCACGCAATATGCCTAAATCATTAGCAGCAAGTAGAATATCATCAACATATAGGACTAAAAATATAAACTTGCTCCCACTGATCTTTTGGTATATACACCGATCAACGGTATTTTCCACAAATCCAAAAAGATGTTATGGTATCATTAAACTTTATATACCATTGTCGTGAGGCTTGTTTAAGTCCATATATTGACTTCTTCAGTTTACACACCATTTGACCTTTTCCTTTAGTTTCGAAACCCTCTGGTTGGTCCATATACACTTCCTCCTCGAGATCTCCATTAAGAAAGGCAGTTTTCACATCCATTTGGTGTAACTCTAAATCATAATGAGCCACCAAAGCCATAATAATTCTTAACGAGTCTTTCTTTGAGACCGGTGAAAAGGTCTCTTTATAATCAATGCCTCCTTTCTGAGTATAACCCTTGGCAACAAGTCTGGCTTTGTATCTCTCAATATTGCCATTTGAATCGCGTTTGGTCTTAAAGACCCACCTACACCCGATTCTTTTAGAACTTTCTGGCAATTCAACAAGATCCCAGACTTTATTGTATTCCATGGATTTTAACTCTTCCTTCATGTCATCAATCCATTTGTCAGACTCATT